AACAGTTTTCGACATCGATGGCATCAGAAAAGTCGTTAAAAGCTCGGTGGAAAACTACGCCTACTTCAGTACCTAGGCACACTACTCCTTCATCCTGCTCCCGCTTTCAAGTGTTTATTACTGCTTAGCTTTCGAAAATCAACATGGCTAAATTTTGGCGTGAAGAACCTATGCCTCAATTTTTCTCCTCTGCCGTTTTCCCCTAATATTGAAATGCGACCCTCCATTCAAATCACAAATATTATCTTCCTTGCTAAAAATTTCCCTGGGCATCTGCGACTCTATTCTAGGGGGACCGTTATGGGGTGGGATTGCACTGACACTTCTTATTCACTAGGCCTACACCGTCCTTCAGACTGTCGTTGTCTGTGTTCGATTTGTGTTCCTTGTATGGCCAGGTGGCTGCACTTTCGCCAAGCATAAACCCAAAACGACATTTATGTTTGTAAACAACAGTTGTACTCATATGGTAGGCTTATATGGTACGTCTGTGAACTACGGATGAAAGGCTTACAGCTAACTAACAATAAGGCTGCTTTCATAGTTTGCGGGTTCGTACGACCATCAACACGCGCTCTGGCGCACGATGCGTACTTGGCGCGCAATCGGCGACTTCCAATCGGTAAATTCGGTTTTATTAGATTCTCCTTTATGTTTTTCAGGTGTTCCACGTGCCGTGTTGCTTTGCTTGTCGTATTTTTGGCGAGAATCTTTTTCTTTTTTGTGTGAATCATTGCTTTTCAACTGTCCTAGAATGGTTAGGTTCATACAGTGTTTGGAAGTAGCAGTAAACCCCAGGTGAGTTCATTAGTAGCAAAAGCAGTAATCCATACAAAAAAGAAAAGTTTTGAGTGAAACGAAAGGCGCGGGGTGAAAGCAAAACGGCACACAAAACTGAAAAAAAAAGAAAAAAAACGTTTTGAAATTAGGATTATCGCCGATTGCGCGCCAAGTACGCATCGTGCACCAGAGCGCGCGTTGACGCTCTTCGCTTTCTACGGTCCGTACGGCCCGCAAACTATGAAAGCAGTCTAATAAGAGTGTCGGTGTAGAAAACCATAGCTAGGCCAGTGAAAGGGTGACCTTGGTAACGTGAGAAGTCCGACACCCAAGGAAAATTCCTTCTTGGTCGAGTGGAGACAGACGGTCAAAAGAGGCTTGATTATGTTTGAAACATCGTTATATTCGAAATTTTTATTCACATAAATAATTTATAGTAACTGGTTGAGCAAAGGGGAAGCTTTGACCACTACCACGACAATGACACAACCACTACACATCATCAAATCTCTTTCGTTCATCATCTTCATCCTCATCATCATTATCATCAAGCTCACCATCATCTCACTTTACATTAGTATACACCAAATAGTATATATACTTAACTATTATATGAAACAGTACACAGTAATGTTATAATCGTCATATGGAAATCTATATGGCGAAAAGAAGAATTAACAATGGGAAGAAAATCTCTGCATATATCAGAATTCCGCGTCGAACCCTGAGATTCGGTACCCGTCTCGCATCTACCGTAGCTACCATGGAAATGTTGAGAGAATAATTCGTCATTCAGTGCGCAATAGTAACATGTTAAATTAAAAATAATAGGCAAAATTACTTAAATTCTTGATAATCTCACTCAACAAGGCAACTGTCATCATTAAGTAGCCATTATACTTGTAATAATATAACCATTAACTATATGAAGAGAGAACTAGACTATGTTAAGTAACCGAATTAATATGGGGATGTACCAAAAAAGCTAGAAAAGCGGATGGTACGGTAAACCTTTCGACAATCGATATATTAATTTCTCAAATTGAACTCGATCGTTACTACTTCATGGGTTACATGACACACTTCAATAATCGATACGCCACCACCTAAGGAATCATTAACGATTATCGTGGGGAAGCTCCGCCGACTCGAAGTCACGCCAAAATTATGAAGTTAGATCGGCGCGCAACCAGCTAAACCAGTAGGAAAACTTCAGTATCGATCGAGAAACTATGACAAAGCAATACAAATAGAAGCCTTTTGTCATCGCTATTAACTTCTGAACGGGCGAGCCTAATTGTGGTACACACCGTCCATTTCAGTAAGGCTTTTTCAGAAAGTGGCCCGTAATCGCAACGTTCAGAAAACATTGCGGACAACTCGTCCAGGAGGGGTGGAGTCGAGTCCGCGGTCCGGCTGTGCATTGTGTTGTGGGCGAAGCTTAGCGTGCTTGCGGTTAGGCGGTCATTATTATGTACAACCATGGGGGTGAAAATTCTATGAGAAAAACGCTGTTAGTGGACATCATATCACAATCGATTCCGAGCTGCTGACGGTCTCATGACGAGCCGAGCAAGTGCCCTCGAAGAGAGGAGCCAGTGGTGGGCGTTTCTGAGGAGGTCGTAGACTTGGACATCCTTGGCCATCAGTGTCGAAGAAATGTCGAAAGGTGAACTCGTAAAAGGCTGGATTGTTGGGCGCTCGTTTCCCAAGGGTTTCGAAGGGGGACTCGTTGATCTGAAGAAGAACAAATAAAAATCGATAATCGATTGGTCAAAAGGCAACCAAGAAAAGTTCTCACTGACCTCAACTGCCTCGCGAAATTCGAAGTATCTTCAGCATGTTCCACTCTCGGGTTGAATCGGCTCGAGTAGATCGCAGGTTTTTGAAATCGATTCCCTATAATGTTTATTCAAAAAATGAATAATCATGAATGGAATAGAAAAGTGACCCAACTGACCCGAAACCATGGATGGTCCATCACTTCACGTGCTCCTGCGGTACCGATACGATGTGTTTCCCGATGCGCAACACAGACGTTGAATCAGCATAATACAATCCCTTGAAAGATGACCACCACCGGCACGTGGCGAAACGTCCAAGTACCGAGACCAGTTCACAATCTGTAAATGGTATTTTTAAAGGCACAACCCAGGAAAGAATCTAGGTGGATAATCTTTTGGTGAGTGGAGAAGAGCTGGTGAAGGTGACGGTCACAAATGTCCCATTCTCCTAGTATTTAAAGTGCCATATTCCGAGAGCCTAAAGTGTTCGACCGTTCTTCCCAGCTTGTCTCTCGACTGCAGTAATGTGGCTGCGCTCTCCTGCCGCTTGCTGCATTTCTCGTCTCGTTGGCTCTCCTCCATGCTCAGTCTCTCATTGCCTTAGTATGGGCAAGCGAAAAATTGACTAACCCACTTAACTTTAGCGTTTTGAATCGACTCTTTTTATTTTGTCCCTACTGTTGGTCCATTTTGCCCAAACGCTTTTATTTTCGTACGCAAGAACACCGAAGAGGTTGATTATGAGGTGTGTCTTGAAGGGTGGAGTTCACAATGAAAGCCTGCCCATTTTAAATTAGAGGTGGTCAGTGATACACGAAAGAAGAAAAAATCGAGAAAATGGCCAGAATCCGAAAAATGGGACCCCTTCCTTGCCCGTTGATTTGCGCATTGATGCGACTCTCATCGCTGTGCCCTCTTCAACGCTAACGCTCTCTCTGCTGAGCGGCTAGAGGCTCAGGACGGTCGAGACGGCGCGAGAGGGAGGTGTACCGCGCGCTAATAATGGAACCAATTGTGCTGCGGGGAAGGCCATGCTAGATCGCCGGGAGCATATCCTTCGATGCCAATTGTGCGTCGGCTCGCACCCTTACGAGGTCTACTTGTATCTTCCACTAGGTAAGTTTCAAGTTTCTTCCTTATTGTGGATTCCTCTTTTAAACCGTTCCCAAACAACCAATCAGGACTGAATGCAACGTAGCGCAGTTGTTTATGGAGTCGCTCAAATTACAAATATCCTCGTTCACTTCCCTTCAAAACCAAGTGACCCCTTTGTTTATCCATCATTGTTCAAAATTCCTCATATTGGTACAGTAGCGCGAAGGTGGAGCATTGGTATGTGTCGTCTAAACTGCACACACACGAAATTCTGGCCTGGTTTTTCTGCCCCAATGTGACGAGTTTCTCCAGTCAGTCGGCAGTCGGCGTTACAGATATAGATCGCTTCTGAGGAAACCCCAGCTGGGATTCGCACAACAGCTTGGCGAGGCAGTGTTCAACTTAGATGAGTCTTAAGTTCTCCAACTCTTCAGGAGGCGCAAGTGCAACTGTGCATGGGCGCCATCTCTGTGAAAGATGCTAGAGAATATGATCTTCGATTTATTCCTTCATCTTTTGAGAAAGGGTTAAAGAAGGCGAAATGCATGTCAAAGAATTAAAACATTCAATATTGCAAGCAACGAAACCATGTCACCATTTCCACTATTCTTTTGAAGTGTTATAAGGGCATGGCCGCACAAAAAGGATTACTGAACCCTCGTAATTTTTATGGTTCTGCTCGCACTTAGAGGTTTTCCTGTAAAGAGATTTGGCTAAGAGAGAAAGGATGACAAGAGGGTTTGACGGCTTTCCTCGCTCTGTTGTGCGCGGCGCACATGTTTCCGTTTGCAACCATCCATGCGATTACCTTCATCCGTTTGAAAGTATTGTGTTGAGCAGCGCTCCAATCTCGTTCCGCGTGCAAGTATCAGAAAAACAAAGAGAATGGGTGGAGCTTTTCAACATGCCTATTTATCAAAAAAAAAACGGCGAACAGATGTCCCTTCTAGGGTGCGCCACGCACATAACCTTCATCTAAATGTAGGGGAATGTTTTAGTGGCCTCCCGAAAGACCTTTCAGCAGTTTAACGCGCATATAGCCACCCACCAGCAGCAAAGTGAAAAAGTGTTGGTAAGCCCTGGATGGAAGCGATCCATAGCGGAGTTCAAAAGATTAATAGCTTTTTCTAAGCATTACGGTACACCGTCTTCAGCCAAAAATATCCACAAAAAATTATAAGAAAAGACAAGGTCACTTACCTTATACTGCGTTTCTTTCGGATCATCAGTAATCGACATAAACGGTGGCCGTCCAAAAACCATCTCGTAATAACTTCACACCTACCGAGACCACAATCACAACAGCTGGCGTGTGGCTGACAGGAAAGACTTCGTAGGTTTCCATAATTATTTATCCAAATAAGTTTTTCTATATATTTTACAATTCCCTACAAACTGCGTAAAATTCCTCCAGTGATCTCGCTCATATTCTTTGCCTTCATGAGTTTTGTAGGGCACTTTTGGGTTGGCCACATTGATAAATAAAACAATAAATAAATAAACAATAAATAAATAAATGTGTAAACAAAACCGTGTGAGTAAATAAATATTAATGAACAAGGTGATAAATAAATAATCAAGCAAATAAGTAAAAGTAAGTAAATGAAAGAATGAGTGAGTGAATAAATAAAATAGCAAATAAATATAAATAAATAAATAGGTTAATAAAATAAATAATTCGATAATAAAAACAAGGTGTGCACTATGAATGAAGTCTTTCTTGCCCTGAATTGAAATCGGAGGGACACGTCTGTCGCTTATACTTGTGTACCTTGGTTTTGGATAAACAGCAGCCCTTCAGTAACTCTATCAAAAATAATTCATGCCGTTTTCTGGGTCCAAAAAATACACTGACAAATCTTGGAAATGAAAAAAAATGTCAGAGTCACGATCGAATTTGAACTGTTGTCTTCTGGGTGTTCTCGTGATGCACATGGTGCTCACGCGGACCTGCTTAATTTTCAGAGCAGCATGACAATATGATATCGCAAAACAAAAAAGTTCTCACCAATCTTCAGGATCACTTCTGGTGCCATATAGTTACCGGTTCCTACCACGGAATGCGCTTGATCACGTTTCTTCTGATGGCGAATATTGAGCACCTTAATATCAGGTGAAGTTATTTCTCTGAGAGTTATCCAAGCGGAATCGAGCAGTATTGATCGACGTAAAAAATCAATAATCGATGTATCGATCTTGGCTGACCTTCATATTTTGCTCCATGGCCGCTACATCTGCTGGTAAGGAGAAGGAGTCGACGCGGACGTGGGCTGGATCAGAGACGTTCTCCGGACCGTAGTACCTGGAAACAATTTCTTATAGCGGCACTAAAAACTGATAGAAATCAGACAATAACTTTGATCAATCGATAGCTACACTTATCATGCATATTGATTACTTAGGTGAATTCTACAGCAATTCCTTTTTACAAGGTCTTATTTCAAAAAGGTAAAAACCCATAAAACTCGGTCCTAGTTGGCTTACCGCCTGTCATGTGTCCATCGAAGACCAGTGCAGAGACCAAAATCGGTGAGCTTGATATGACCGTGCTGATCAATCAGGATATTATCCGGTTTGATATCACGATGGATAAATCCTAACGAATGCACGTAATCGATGGCACACGTCAACTCAGCGATGTAAAACCTGAAACACAACTTATGGCTAGCTATCTGAGGTAGGGCATAAGATATGCAGAGACGGGCCAGAGCAGTGACTAGATTCTCACGTTTATTGGCTCCCACTCCAGGCCAACCGTCCTTTTAATGATCAAGCATTTCCTTCTCCCTAGCAGGATCAACCTTCACCTTCACACTTGACAATTTTTTTACGTCCTCTTAGCCTCCCAGAAATCTTGAAACGTTCTCTCCACCGTAATCTCCAATACGGAATCCTTGAGGAATGCCCCCAATACGGCCCCTTCCCCACCTCGACCCTGATTCTCCATCATGACTGATTCTATAACATTCGATTTTGAGCCCAGCCGATACTCTTCGCCGGACGGAGAGGAGGTGTTCAGCGCTTGTCTACGATTACAACCTTCCTTTCGCACTTGTCCACTGGATGGTTCATCCAGATCCCCTCCCTGTTCGAATAGATAGAACGGACGGCCGACTCTGCTCTCAGGTTTGTTATAGTACCACAACTGTTTGGCAGAATATAGAACAAAATCGCAAACTTAACGTCTCTGAGTTTTAGACGGAATCGGGTGCCTGGAACATTCCAAAAAGCCTACTAGGGATGTAACTATCGCTGGTCTCAGTCTAGAAGGTGCTGGCCAAGAGCTGCCCCATGTCCCGTCATGATCATTTGAGGCTTTAGCATTTCGATTTTCAGTTTCCGCTGGAGAAAGAGCAACAATCGGAAATTCGGAACAAAAACGCGCGGACAACCTTTGACAACCCAACCCCCAAACCAAATTTCTGATTATTCTTTTCCGATGAATTCTATTTTCGGGCGTTTTCTGGGAATCGGCGAGATGTGGGATCTCAAAATGCATATTACCGAAAGGGTATCGTCACGACCAGTCGTTTCAAAAAAAATTTCTTCAGATTTTTGAAAGAAAGTTACCTACCGAGCCAATTTTTCTTCAAAAATTCCTTTATTGATTAGCAGCTGCATCATATCGCCACCGGGCACGTACTCCATGACGAAATAAAGGCAGCGATCGTCTTGAAAAGAGAAAAACAACTTCACTATCCAGGGCGAATCGGCTTCTGCCAGAATGTCTCGCTCGGCTTTCACATGCGCTGCCTGAAAATCTGGGACATGATTGAAGTGAGAGGTGCTTTTGAGTAGACACTGTAGAAAAGATTGCTATGTCAACACTCTCAAAATTACTAATATAGTACTGGTAAGCCCCGCCCACCTGCTGTTTCATGATCACGTCCTTTTTCAGCAGACTCTTCATGGCATACACTTGTCCGGAGTCTTTCTGAAAATGTCATCAGATTCATTATTGATTGAATCGAAAGCTGCAGTATTGTGAGAAAAAGGGAAACCCTGCTGACCTTCTTCACAAGGGAAACTCGTCCAAATGCGCCAACGCCAATGTGTTGTAAAACTTCAAACATGTCTTTATTCATTTTTTGTCGTCGAAGCCGCATGTACCTACAGAATAGGGGTTAATTCAAAAATAGCTTTTACATTTCCAAGATTTTAGCAGGTAAGGAAATGTTTTTTGTAAAGCTATTTCAAACACATTGTAATGTAACCCGATCTCCAGTACCTAATTCCAAAGGTAGTGCGCGATAGGAATCCATAAGTTTAGCAATTACGAGAAAATTGGGAAAAAATTAAAATTTTCATGAGACAGGGACCCTACTGAATAGGCGGACCCCGACGCGTGCGATTGTGGGGCAAATGACTTGCGCCTGAGATTTGTTTAGGCCACAACACAATATCAAAATATAGACAAAAGTGAAATGTTATCTATGCAAGCAACTGCGGTCGGAGTCCTCAATAGCTAAAAGTGACTGCGTTAGCAACCGCCAAGGGTGCACCACTGATAGATGGAAACAAGGCTAGCCGAGACGGTAAAAGCAGAACAACTTCGACCTTATCCTCAGCACAAAAATGTATACGTTCTCTATTTTTCCCAGCATTTTTCACAGGAGTTCCAAAAACTTTTAGGTTGATGCATAATTACTGCGGCATTTTTCGCGCCTTCTTTTTTTTTCAAAAAGATTGGCGTTTCGTAAATTATTCGTTAATGGAAACCTTCTTCTTTCTTATATTAACAGAGATGCTTACCAAAAATTATCCACATATTCGCCGCATATACTCTACCACTTTGAGCAAGGTTGGGACCCGGGCGGAGGGAGGTCAGTTCTGGGGGGGCTGACCTCAAGGAAGCTTCTGGGCGAGGGAATCATCGGCAAAAGCCAAGTTGAAAGATGGTTCAAGAGGTTCAAAACACCATATTTACCAACGGAAGCTTCTACAGACTACCACTTCAACCAGTCCTTGAAAAACTGACAAACGAACAAAATTATGACGAGCTGGATGACTTGGTGGCAGAATGTTGGAGCGTGGATCGTCTATCAAGAATCGTGACTTCTTCGCCCGTGGAATCGACCGAATGTCAAGCAAATGGGAAGCACTCTTGAAGGATGGTGACTACGCTACGGAATAACCTTTTCAACATGTTTTTGTAAAATATCTTTATCGTTTTCTTCTGAATAAAATTTGTTGAAAAAAGGCGCAACTAATTATGTATCAACCCAACAAAAACTCCTCTGGCAACGCTGTGCAGCAGATCACGCATTTTTGATTAACATATTGTCTTGGCCGTGGTGAAAATACCAATTTTTGATACAGCTATTCTTATGTTCTGTTATTTTTTACAGGCTGGTCAGAATACTCCGTGTATAAACTAATCTGAATTATGGAAGTTACCTTGACTCTTTCTGTTGCAGAAAATCCATCATTTTTTGTTTCATGGGTTCAGTCAGATTTGCGGCTTCCATTTCTCGTTGCAGCTGTAAAACAGTTCGTCATTTTGTGAATTTCATCACTTAAGAAAAAAACCTCGTAAAGTATGGATGGAAAAGGTCAAAGGTGGGTGCCCGCTCCGGGTGGGGTAATCTTTTGGAGCTATGCGTACGACTTTCGTTCATAATCACAAACTCTCGTATGCCTACCCCCCTCCCGCTCCCCTTTCTACGACTGCATACGTTGGAGAGATTTCGAGTTTTCGCATATTCATGTTTCCATCCTTCCTGAACATCCTCATTCCAAAGATATCCGGAAGGTGGAGGGTTTGGACAAAATGGGACGTATTTCTTCCAAGATTTTCCACGGAACGTGAGAACGAGAGCCACGCCACCAGCCAACCTCTCACCTCTCAGCTAGGAAGTTTTCAGAAAAGATACCTGCCGTTCTAATTCAGAATCTGCTCATACAAGGAAAGTTCAAAATGTTCTAATATTTAGTGGAAGTCAAATGCATGGCGCGAAACGAAGCAATGGAAACGAAATGAGCATTTCATCGCGCTATTGTTCACCTACATAGGCCGTTCGAGCTCGAGATGTCATGGAAATTTACCCACCCCTTACTACGCGCACAATAAACACGTTCAATTCTGACTCGAACCTAGCCCAAGACAACCGGGTAGCCCATCCTTTTCAGGGTCATCCTGGTACCAAAAAGATCCAGTTGTAGGAGGACAAATTGACTTGTACATCGGCCATCCCACGTTATTTGGAAAGCCAAATCGCATCCGACAATAAGGTGCCACTGCAACGCGAAGTGGAAGAAGAATGCGTGGCGTATACCAAAAAGAGTCGATCTAACCTCGAACGCCAGGTCGTATTATTTACTTCTTGTTAACTCGATACGTCACCATGAATCCAGTACATGCTTGTAGTTCCAAGTAAACCTTCTACAGTAGGAATGTGCAAAAATTCAGTGAAATATTAAATATTAGAGGGTTGGCTCGAACCTGATGTGCTCGTTTCATGCGTTCTTTGTATTGCGCTAACAATCGTTCGACGTGCTGTTCCATGAAGAAGCAAAACATTCGCGGTTTGCACGGTTTCACATATTTCTCATACTTCTGCTGCTTCACACGACTCGCTATTGATTCCGGCAACGGTGACGTGCAACGGGTCACGGCCGGTTGCGATGAATCGCCTCTGAAAATCACAATTGAAAATCCTCGACATAGAAGTGAAAAGGTGGTAAACTCGATCTGATCGCTACCCCAGTCAACCCAGTTCCTTCTTTTCCATGATGACATCGGACCTTTCCATGAATTGGTCCAACCAGGAGACTGGGAAACTTCTTTGAAATATGACCCCATATACTCTTCCCATACCTTGCCAGCAAAGAATCTCGTCGGAAGTATCCCATCAAAAATCTCGGGAGAGATAAGGATTATATAACAATATAAGCAATAAAACCTCTGAAAAATAGTACTGATACCATTTTGAGCTTTCTACACATGCTTCTTCGCCAGAACCGTTCCATCAACTCACATATAATCCCAAGCACCCAAATTGCTCGACCGACACCTCAGGCTTGAGCAAGCGCCATTGTTATTAATAAGCGAGGCCAATCAGTTTCCGTAAGCTGCGCTTCCTTTTTCATTATCGACTTTTCATTTGCTTATGCGCTAGATTGTTTCTCGAAAAGGATTTTACGATCAAGAAGAGGTTCAAAGGGAACTATGCTAGTTGTGCGGGCCCTAAGGATGGGAGACGATGTGGTTAGCAGCAAAGAATATTGCTCAAGCGGCTATGCAGGGCTATGGCAGCTCACCCCGCGCCGACAGGCAGTCTATACATCTTCGCGATAATGACTCTATGGCCTAAGAGTTGCTTAAAGGAATCTTCCACGGACCATGGACCAGTGGGCGGGACCGGAAGTGGTTTTGCGACGAAATGCATGGTAGGTACGGATCCACGTTCATGGGAAGGTTTGAAGTGAATCCTGTTCACGTTCGTGCGTTCGACACGTGGATCCGTACCTACCATGCATTTCGTCACAAAAACTTCCGGTCCCGCCCACTGGTCCATGGTCCGTGGAAGATTCCTTTAACGCTGGAGAAGGCAGCATCGATGGATCGCATCAAGGAAATCAATGGGCACAGAAGAAGTCCGATTCTCGGGTTATGGGCCGCTTCTCATGGTTTTTTCTTAATTCGTGCACCCGTGATCACCTCTACCTCAACTTTTAAGGAGCTGCCCTTCCGTAGACGATTCCTTTAATCCTCCTCTTGCTCTACTATTCCTTTAAGTAAATTCTAACCCTTTTCGTCCGCACAGTCAGGACACAATTTACGCGACACAACTTGTGGTCTTTCAATGAAGGTCTAGCGCATCAGATGTCTTATTTCAGGTGTGAAACTGATCAGTGCTGGAGACTTCTCCCGATCAATTCTCTTCATGCCACCTCTTTTTCCTTTTCACTTCATGCGTTATTTATGAGACAATCGCAGTTTTCGATCAGCAATACCCTACTTTTCGATAACTTCCACTTCCGCCTCACATCCACCTTTCTCACGCGCACACATTACCATGCGCTTTTATAGGACATTGGTGCTTCCCGAAGCCCTATAGTAACCTATATTGTTTCTTGATTTGCTTCCCTCCCTTCCCACATCCCATTAACCCTTCCCCTTCTCATATCCACCTTCACCATTTTATGCGCTTTTTATGGGAACGTCTATTCTCCCATTCCTTCTCTTTCAATTCCTCTTCTTCAACCAGTGCTTCTTTGCTGCAACTACTAGTAGGACCCGTCCGGTATACGCAGCCGGCAGTTATTCCCTCTATACAATTGCCTAGAGGACAATTTTCCTACCTCGAAGAGGAGTGCTGCATCGCTGCCACACCATAGCTGCGCTCCAGTCGTTCGTGTCTGACGGGTTCTTTCGAGGTTGACGGCACCACGTCGGCGCCGCCATGCATCGGTCGAAGTTCGTCCTCATAGCCGATGAAGCCACGATGCGTCTTGTCCGGATCCACTATAATGTTCTGGACGCCGGTGACCGAACCGGGAATGCCATGCACCGACGAAACGCCACCATCCCGGCCAGTCACGTCCAGTCGATACGTGCGAGTTTCGGTATTCTGAAGAGAACCAGGAGTAGTTTCGGTTTAACCTCTTGCAGTAAATTGAAGAAGAAGAACTGACCTTATTGATCGGCGACACGTTGATATTCACCATGCTCTTGAGGGGTGCAGCGCTAAAAGTGGTTCGGATGACCGGATGGGACGCCTGTTGACCGTATCGGCTCAGATGGGACGGCATGCCACCAATCTGCACATGAGACGTGGACTGGCCCAGTGGAGCCGACATCGACGTGTCCAGGGCACTTTTGAATGTGTCCCGGACCACATAGTGTTGCTTTACTACGCCGCTTGGCCTGGAAGTTGCCATCATGCGAAGTTTTTAGGGCCATTAGGGGAGACTTTTCGTCTCGCTCAAGGGATAAATGACGAACTGATAATAGAAAAGACTTGCTCACCTCTCTGGCCCTCGCTCGATGAAAATTGACGGTTTGAAGTTGGTTTGCTGTGGCCGTACACCTTGTTGCTGATAGAAATCTGACTTATATGGGGTCCTAAACATAACTGTAGTTAACCTCTAATTATTTATATTTAATTAATCACCTAACTAAGATAAGGAACACGTTACGCAACCATGGCCACAAATTGGCGTTAATCGAATTTTTGAGCACCAATTTATAGCTGCTACACTCTTTTCTTCTTGATCATTCATGCTCAAATACCAAAACACCAAAAACATCGCCATGACATACATTCCGCTATGCATGTCGCATGTCACGGAGATATTTTTGCGAGTGATTATGCCCTTATAAATTCGGAATTGTACTGTAAAGCTTTCCATGATCAACAAGTTGGGAAGAACAGTTGTAACAGTCGCGAAGGTATAAAAAGTGAAGTAAAAGAGGGAGTTTTAGCAACTGTGACTGGTGAGGGTAGCACAGTATGAGCGCGACTATGCGGCTCATATTAGACAACTAGACGCTATCGCAATATAGAGGGGGGTCAACCTGTACGGCTAAGCCAAGGAGGACAGGAACTAGGAGGAAAATGAAAACGACTCACTAGACCCAGAGTAGCGCCTCCCTGCCTAAAGCTGAATACCATTGTTAACAAAGAGGAGGTACTTCACGTGGTTCTAAATGCGTTGCCATCGCAATGCCCCCGTATCTTTCGATAGCGCCGACAAATATTGTGAAATAACCATAATAAATGTTATAGTAAAATCTCATTAAAGGAGGAAATCACGATATCGAAGAAGGAGTAATTGCTAGTTGAGAGACAGGCGGACCTCCTGAGGGTGCTGACCGACGCGCAATTGGCAGCGAAAGATTTGACCTCGGCGAGCATGGCTCACTCTTGGCGCGGTTGGCGGGGTACGCCCACCGACTATCTAATCGCCGCAGGTCTATACGTGGCGAGTGATTAGATAGCAGAGAGCGTAGTGTTGAAGAGGGCACAGCGATGAGAGTCGCATCAATGCTCAAATCAACGGGCAAGGAAGGGGTCCCATTTCTCGGGTTCTGGGCCGTTTCTCATGGTTTCCTTCTTTCGTGTACCACTCACCATCCCTAGGTTAATTTGAAATGGGTTGCTTTTCATCGTGAATTCGTCCTTTGAATGGTGATATACAAACATGTGTTTTATAAAACGTAACAAAAATAAATGTAATAATCAAATTAAACTGACGTTGAAATGTGGACATGTGTTCTGTGATAGTCCGGCGCTACGGGAGTATACTGTCGTCGAAGGGCTTTGTGTGGTGACTGTGAGCTGGACATCTGGCCACTGGATGCCGCCGTCGGAGCTCCGGAAGACGTTGACAGTGGCGATGAGTTTGTTGACGTGCCAGCGGCCATCGAGACAAACGATGATGTGGTGGAAGGGGTGGCCATGGAACCACCGCTACCGGGCGCTGCTCCAGAAGTCACGTAAGGACCCATGGCGTTTGACGGAGATGGCATCTGCGGAGGCAGTGGGGAAGTCGAGCGTGATGATGCACTGAAAAATGGAAGCGTAGATCATCTTCATAAACATCTAAGATAAATAGGCGAAGATGAGGAATAGCAGACGGAGGTGGTGAAGGGACGAGAGACGTCGACTATCCGGTAATCCTGCTGCAAATCAATCGAACTCACTTAAAGCACTCGTCATCGAAGTAACACTTCAGAGGGGTACAATGCAATTCAGAGGGTGGAGAAGGGTAGCCCACGAATATCACAGTTATGCCGTTGACAAAGCTTGATAATATGCGACAATGGTGCTATGGTCTTACAAAGTTACAATTCGGCGACAATCTTAGCATTTGGACGAGTTACGCAGCGCACACCCCAATGATACACAGCGTGGATTACCGCGTGACCTCTAGTTCAAATACGCGTGGGTTAGCTGAGTCGTGGAGCAGGCAAGTTCGAACAAGCTGCCTGGCGTGCGCTTTCCTTTTCCAAAGGTGATCGTTTTTAAGGGCTTCATCGAGGTTTTCTTGTTTCTTTTTCATTTTTAGTCAACTCGGCATCCAAAACCGCTGAGACCCCACAAATTCGATCTGGGGTCCTGCTTTGAGCTGGCTAGAACCAACAATCTTTCAACAACCTTCACGCAAATGAATGCGCTCACAAGAAAGTATCGAAGGTGGCATCGTTCATGCCCAGAAAGGGCTGAACTTTCGGATATCGGAAAGTCGTATCGCGAATGCCCGTGTAATTGCGCTCAAAAATAATAGCGTAAAGGTGGCTGCAGCAGCGAGCCGCCAGGTAAGGAAAACTCAAACCACAAAAAGTAGAGACCTTCCTTTCAAGAATAGTGAATGTAGCGATGGATGAGACGAAACATGCAGGGGACAGATGACACGCAGACACTATGGATTCATAAAATCGTGCTTCCATCGATTTATTAGGTGTAAAGAAAGTTCTTGCGCTTTTCGGTGTTTCGTTTTTGAACGCTTTATTTTGTTACGAATTCAAGCAAGCTGCCAATGAGCTGTATGTGGTTTTGAAGAGCTTTTCTTGTTCTATCTAACAGCTAGGCTAGCTATGTTCCTTATTATTTAGTTGTCATTTTTTGAAGCCTTGAATACGGCATACTCCAAGAGCAAATTTGCATGATTTCCTTTTTCTAGCTCAAAGCAGGCCAGTATGGAGAGGGAGCAGGTCAAGATATTATAGACGCACTTGGCTGAGATTCGCAATAAATATGGTCTGAAGCAATTGTTCAAAAAGCTTTTGTAAGAATAGCGAGAGCCCTAATTGTGAGGGTGGTGATCGGAGATTGGACGACGCCAACGATTAGTCGAGCGTTCTGGTTGAAGCACGTTTGGACAATTCGATTGAATTTCTTGCTTCTGTTTAGCCTTCCAGGTTTGATATGGTGGAACACTTTATTGGTCGACGTTTCGAACAAATCGTCGTTTTCAAGACCTAAAAATTGGTTCGAAGCTCTAGTTTGTAGCCTATCCGCTCACACCCCACTAGTACCAAATGTTACGCTTCTCAGTAATCTCAAACCAAGATAAGTTCCAGCTAAAACCAACCTCTTACGGCTCCACCAATACTGGGTCCCGCTCGGTTCCGTGGACAGCTGACGAAAAATGAGACACCCTCACTCAAACGTAGTACGTGCAGTGCGTGATGATCTCACAATTCGCATAAGGGAATGAAAGGCAGGAATTCACTCGTGACGGCCATGCACTCATTTCGGTTGTTCAGCTTTGGATTTCGCACACGGATGTAAAACGCTTCTAGCATTTTTCTAGCACCGACATCATGTTCCTGGGTCAGGATTTTACATTCTATATCAAAGTCATTGCCCGCATGTTTTTCAAACCGGTGCTTGCCAAGCGGAGTGAGAAGGCTTCCACGTCTTTTCCCAGCCAGGTGTTCTTTAACGCGTATACCTAACATCCTGCCTGTTTCCCCAATATACGCTTCGCCACAGGTTGAACATTGAAGTTGGTATACAGTTCCTCTCAATGTGCAAATCTCCATGCCTTCCATATGGACACACAATACAGTTTTGTGTAGTGCATGTACGATCGTACAACCTATTGCGGATTAGCAGATGTTTAATATTGCTTTTTGGCACGTTAACTAAAACTACGTCATTAGCTAAATCCGCTCGTGATATGCACTGCCGTATTGCTGCACTAATCCTATCTGATATGAAAGGCAATTGGAGAATCGCCATGTCTCGCTGTCCTCGCGATTTCTCGCGGTATGCCCTGGCGTGTCTTCGCGGTTTCTCGCGGAATGTCTTCGTGAGCCTGATCCTCCGGGTTGAGTTCCATAGCCATTCGCCTTTGTGATATCAGAAGCTAGCTTTCTCGACTCATCTCGCTCCATTTCGCCTGTACAAACTCCAACAGCTGTTTTGTACATGTTTCGGATAACCGCACTTTTAAGAATATATAATAGACCGGACATGGAACATCTATTGAGAGGGTTCCTCCCAAACTAATCGCACTTGCATTGTGTTTTCTTGTTGTACGGGAAGAGCTGGAAAGTCCCAAAAATTCAAATAGGGCGTGCCGCGACAGCTCACCATTTTGAAGGGTCGTTCGCCGCGTTCTAGCTTGTTTCATGCCATGAAAACGACCTGACTTTTTGATCATTTGCGACGCACGACAAAGAACGGATTCTTTGCTACAGAATACGAACCTTTGGTGAAGTGATCGACCGCGATCAGGCTCTACAAACTTTGCAAAAGTGAAACTTCACTGAAGGAAGGTTGAGGTGACTTTCATAAGGTCAGCGGCTGGTCTAGCTTTTCGTAACCAGGTGGATCTGTTAATGTGGAAAAAGTACTCTGATAATGTGTCAAACTACTCCTAGAACTCTGGCACATATGCTCGAAATTCCTCATTATAAAGGAACCGGCTCGTCCCTGACAGGTAGCTCGGACGCACATTCCACAACCAACCCTGCAGAAGTTCGACAAGATTGGCTACGAATTAGTCCTGCGAACATCCTACTCGGTAGACCTTTTGCCTATAATTTGTCACTTTCTCGACTACCTGGATAGCTTCTCCAAAGAGTTATGCTTCAAAAACCAACATGATGCGGAAACGACCTCCGCCGGGTTCATCGTCTCTAGAGCTCCAGTATTCTGCACTACCGGGCTGATTCAACGCAGCTATTATTGGCAGAGGTTTGTGGATTCTAACAGTCTTTACTCCAATCAAAAAGGTTTCGAATGAGCCGAGATACAGGCATTTGAAAATCAAGGTCCAAAAGCGCAAGAACTTTCTTCACGACCTAATAGTTAATGAGCTGGGGCACCCACGCTCTCTCGAATCGAAAAAATGGTACAGCGTCTGAAATTGTAACACAGCACTCCCCCCCCCCTCCAAGGGACTGAAGAGAACGTGAATGTTTCCCTAACAATAAGCCCATCTTTACAAGCGCAGAGTAGAGCGATAGCTGTGCTCAAGGTGCGAAGGGATAATCGTGGGGATTTCAACCTGCTCACCTGTCCTCGACATTCACGAACTGCATTGGATACAAATTTCCATTCGAAGCTCCGTTCGTCATCTAAAATAACTTTCTTCGGAAAATCTCCATATACCCACTATAATCTCTCAAGTGCCTAAGTAAGAAACAATTGTTGAGTTTTTAGTGAACTTTAGCTTCTATTGAACTGTTGATAATTACAGCGAGTTGTGAGACTCATATTTCTTGCATTTGCCTTGTGCACAACATTATTCATATACACAATAGGCAATAAACTACTATTAATAACAGCTACAGGGTGAGCCAAAATTACGGCGACAGCGATTTCGAGTCGCCTAGAATGAACATGCCACAATTCCAAGAAACCAAAAATGCAGTAACGTTCACTGTTCAATAATGAATCGTAAACATTGCCAAATCTCAGAAATTCCTTCGTTGGCACTTACACGGGACTTGAGCAGTGAGGAACCATCGACGGTGGCACGCAATTGTGGTGCGTGGAACCCGTCCTGCGCATTCTGGAGCAATTTTTCAAATAAATCCTCAAGAATGTAGAGTACCGTGCAAGCCTAAGCTCACAGAATTGCTCCCACAGTGTAATCCATGGATTTCAAATCTGGAGTGTTGACTCCCACTCGATAAAAGGGGTCAAGTCGACAAACGTTGTTCGTCGTTCTACACCACCGTTGCCTTGCAATTGGGAGTGCTCTTCTGTTGGAAGATCCAGCAAAATCTTTTAAATTTCAGGATGGCGAGTCGCTTTTCAGTAAGTCTCGAATAGTCCCATTGATCTTCATCTCTCGCAGCATTCGGCGAACCGAGGACGCCAAGTGCCTATAAGTTCTATCGCGCACCATGCTACGATTTCTCGTAATCGTCATAGAAACACACCCTCATCGAGATCAACTGTATTCCGTTCCTTATTCCAAGCGTCTAGTGGATCCATAGGGTTGGTTCTACACCAAAACGCTGATAATTTTTGGGTGCCGAGAACTATCGAAATTGGAGTTCAATGATTTGGAAACCGTGCCAGTATCACTCAGCCTATCGTAACAACCATAACGTGTGGTGGTTAAACAAAATAAGCATGAAAACGCCACACAACAAAACCAAAGCAAGCACAGAGGAAAACAGCACCTTTGAATAGTGGTTCAAATTGTATGCTCATGCGTTGTCGCTATAATTTTTGGGGCACCCTGTATATACCATTCCAAAAAATTCTTACTCGAGAGGTTTGTACATGAAGGTTTCCGTTCAAAGCTGGTGCACCCGAAGGAAGTACACAAAGCAGGCGGTCCTGAAAATGACCCTTATTGAAAAATAATAATCAGGACAAAAAATGACAAGAACGTCGAAAAATTGTTGCTGAACTGACATTCTTGGTCTCTTCCATGTTAGCGTGGTCATGATTGATGTGCTTCAAGACGTCAATAGCGGCCTCGGGACTGGCAAATTTCACGAGCTTCAACGCATAGAATGCAGCGTCCTAAATCAAGGACAACATAACTCGGCGTTCATCATTCCCTTTTTGGATGCGCTATGCATTCTCTCTCCATTCCGAATCGCACTGGTATTCGAAAGCAACGTTGGGCTACACATCTCTTCTCTATTTGATATTTTTACTCTTAGGGCCATCTGGTACCAACTAGTCACCCCGGAGGAATGGACCTTATTGGTTGTGGTTTCATTCGGGACTTCATACTCGTACAACGCGTGCTATGCAATCAAATCATCTTCGACAAGCAATGTGATTAGCGATTGGTCGAGAACGGAAGCGGATGGCAAGTGAGGCTGCTTACCACAGACGGTCGAGGGTTCAATCCTGCTGTGTACGCCTATAGGCCAACCAAACCTTACTTCCGTTAGGGGTTGGTTAACTGATACAAAACTCGTCTGGCAGCATCGACGTGTACATCGACCGGCCCTTTAGCTCATTGTGAAGGCCAAACTGCAACCAGAATGCCACTGTGATTCTGATAAAAGTAGAGGCTTCTCAGACAGGAATGGTACACGCATAAGGTTGCTGCAGTTTACCGATAGATTCTCGCTACAGAAATAATATAATTCAACATCCATCTTCTTCTCCCTAGCGCTAGTCCCGCGCAGTCGCAAGTCCGCTATAATTCAAAATCCATGTGTCAACGAAAAGAGCTCGGTCAATGTTTCAGAGCGAGCTCTAACTGGTAGGTTTGATCACGGTATCCCCCATTCAACAGCCATTCCCTTCCTGTCAGCGTCCTCGTTCGAGCTCGAAAGAAGACCAAATGGCGAGCTCGAGCACTTGTCAGAACCTTCCGAATGTATGTTGGCCTTCAGGCGGAAATCTCAATTCCTAGTAATTTATCTAATTAATTTCGCTATGGTGCTTAATTTCATTCAAATTTTTCACTGGCAGGGAAGTGAAATCCCGAAGAAAAACCGCGCATAGTCGGCAGCCGGCCGGCTGGCTGATTGGCCGTCCGTCGTCGTTCACATACTTTACACATTAGTAATGCTGACGTTAAGGAATATTGGAATGCAGTGGAATGAGTCATTCAGGAATCTCGTCACCATTCATCGACAACGACGACCGTTTCTAAAATGTCGACGCCCTCGTTTTGAAGGCATTCTACCTAAACGGGCATCCTTTGAAAGATATGATTCATGGAGCGCTGTTCCAGTACTGACTAGCAGTCCAGATCATTCTGTTCAAAGTAGTCTGACCACGAAAAGGAAACAGGAAAGGTACAACTATTCATAAGAAATTTAACCCACAATGGCCTTCGCCTTTCCACGGTGGTGACTTAAAGGCAGTGAGCACGATAATTCTGGATGAGTAAATGAAAATGGGTGCTAAACGGCGCGCCAGAAAACTTCGACCAAACCCGCGAAATGGGATGCTCATCTCGCGCTTTGGTTTCGGACGAGTTTACGGCTTAGAAGGAGCGTTTGAGTGTGGATATCTCGAACGAATACACACCATGGCAAGATTGCAGGGAATGGTCCTCCAATACAAAATGCACATTCAAAATGAAAAACCGAATGATATCCGTGTTGTGCGCGCAAAAGAGCAAAACCCGATTTGTGGGCGGAACGGTTTTGAGGATGCTGCCAACAGCGCACCCTTGGCGCAAAAATGCTGCCCTCGCTTCCTTCTCGGCCTGGATTTCGATTCCAGTGCTCATATACCATCCCGTTGGACATATATCTTTTTGGACCCACTGCCTTTAGCTTGGTCAGTGAAGAAGTCTGGACCGTACTACCGCCCTGAAGCTGAAGCAAAGTTGCTGATGAGGAATGGAATCGATGGGTGTTTGGACCGTGAGGGAAACCCCAAGTTAACTGTTGGAGATAATGTGAATTGAGGTGGCAAACCAAGGCACTGTACCGTAACATCTGGCCTTAATGACCCTCTCCATGCTTCCTCCAGCTTTTTAAAACTTAGCGAGGTCTGAACACTACAAATACCGAATCCTAATACCGTATACTGCAGCGTTTTACCTGCTCGTAGCCTTGCGCGATGAGGCTGTCCACCATGGCACGTTGCTGCTCGACAGTTGTTGAGTTCGTCGTTGAATCGACCGCGGCCGACGTCGTCTGGTCGACAGCGTTCGTCGTGGGCACCTCATTGACCGTCTGCTCGAATGGCCGCAACGAGTCGCGGATCAGCTCGAGCTTATCGCGATGGCGTCCAACACGAACATCCTGCAACCAACTCATGAGATGCACTGACTGAATCAAAGGTCAAGCAGATAAGAAGAGGGGAATGAGAGGAGAACAGTGAAAACAATTTCTGCGACAAGGCAGCGACCGTAATCTCAAGAGCTCCCTCAATGCAGTGAATAGAATGGCTGGAAGGCGGAGCGGTTATGATGACGTCGATGAGCGTCATTGGTAGAAGGGAGGCGGTTGTGACCGCAGTCCACCGAGAAACTCAGGTCACCAAGACGTCCAATGAGGTCATGAGAACCGATCCGCCCTCCACCCATCGTTTTCACTGCCTTTAATCAATCAAAAGTCCCAATACATACCGAATGTTGGACGGAAATTCATGGCTACGGTATCGCCCTCCTCCCTGAGCTTCCCCTCCCTTTCGTATGTTTTTTTCTGTTCTGCAAAAACGCCACCAATGCTTCGACAGTGCGTAGAAGCTCTGTCACAAGTCTTTTGAGTGCGTTTACGTATTCACGAGCTTTCGCTATTCAAAAAAGGAAAATTCCTATGAAATTTCGAGAAGACAGTGCGAAACCATGGAATCGGTTGGATAGCAGTTGAAGGTCTGTAAAAACATCTTAGTCGATATAGGGATCAGCAGGGTAGAGGAGCAGCCTTGAAAGTGAACCCTTCTACCTCCTCAGCATCGACCGAGATTTTGCTGGCTGTCAAGGGATCAATTAAGCAAACCAGCCCTTTTGGCGTTTCTGCTGGGGCCGTATGCTGAATGTTGGGGAGGGGATGGGGTCCCCGACGGTCGACGGACTACTTCAACTCGGTCCTTAAAACCGCCTCAATTTGATGCTTACCTCAGGACTAAGCCTTGAGAGGACGGACCTGCGAGAGAGCGCAGGTCCGTCCTCTCCAAGGCTTAGTCCTGGCAGTAAGCAAACCAGCCCTTTTGGCGGAGCTGCTGGACCTAGCTGCACCACTTCGTCATCACTCTCCTACCGTACCGACCGAGTTCAAGTAGTCCGTCGACCTAGGACCCCATCCTCCTCCCCAACATTCAGCGTAATAAGGCTGTTTCTCAGCCTCTAAGGGATACTCAACGTTAGTTCATACACCGCAGCGGGTCACTGTTCCTCGACCGAACAATTGTAAAAATTTAATCGACTCGCCTGCAACGACCCCACCCCTTACCACCACTGCTTATTCCATAACATTGCATTATATGTGATCCTAAGACCAATAAACACACTCCACACCCAACCTTTACTTCCCCTACAAAAATGCCGTGGAGCAAAAGGAGCAGGAGGGGGATAAGAATTGGGAGTGGTACAGTAGGTGAGGAGTTGAGGATGAATATGACTGAAGGAATAGGAGATGCTCCATTCCGGCCCATTTCCTGCCTTTTTCGTGGGAATTTCATCTGAACTGTCAAGACCACGCCAAAACGACCTCCTTTCCTACAACTTCTATACCGTCTATGAGTAGGGCCCTTGTGTGCAGTTTTCGAAGGTGGTCAACCTCGGTCAACCCTAAAAATTACCCCCTCCCCAACAAAAGAAAAGCACCAGTGGAAGGGACGGTTTTCACTGGACCGGAGCCACTTCTGAACACTGTTTTTCATGGAACTGTTTATTCGCGATTCCCGTCAAGCCTTACCCTCGCTTTCCTACATGGAATCCGAACACTCAAGACGGAGCCAGGTCCGCTCCATCTTCCTTCTTACTTTACCGTCCATTGAACCCATACACTGCAGACAAAATGTTTCTCAAAGGCTTTATCACATTATCATTCTCCCTGGAAAGAAGTAGGGCCGTGGCGAAAGAAACTGCTGACACGCATTACCTGGTTATGGCCCTGGTCAGGAAAGGCCCGCCGGCCCGCCGGCCCCCCTTCCGTGGAGGGTTTGAAGGGGAAGAACGCATTAGCTCATCGTTGCACGCTCACCAAGTTAATTGCATAGGCCAGATAGGCATTCAAATCCTTAAGCGATTTTAACTGGGTGTCAAGTGCATGGCTCATGTCCAAAAATCATTACCTAATGTCAAACGTCCCTTTACGCCCTTCTTAATTGTCTGCTACTATCTCTCTGAGAACTCGGATGCTCTTATTAATATCAGAGCAATCAATAAGGGAACGTTTCAAGGCAAAAACGGTTGGTGCAAACTTTTTGATTACTTTCTTGCACGCACACTTCACGATCGAACTGGAGGGATACTTGACAGGGAAAATGAAAGCCGTGGTGCGAAGTGAACCAACAGTGAGGAACTGAAAAGGACCCGTCGAAAGCGCTAGAATTGAGGGACCTCTTTTTTCGCCGGTCGGCTGTGCTTTACTATGTGATGAAGTTGGCCTGTGATATCCTCCATCTTGAAAAGTTTGGAATCATTGTGGGCAGCACGACCAGTCGCGCCACATAGCCCACTTACTGGAACAATTTGGGATTCCGCTTTCTGCGTCCGCTGTTTTCATCAATTATGATGTCATCTCATCGAACCGTAAAAAGATTGTGAGAACATACACTTCGTATCCTGCAATTAGGTGCGTCTGCAGTGCAGACCAAACAACACAGGTTACGACGCCTTCATAAAATCTTGTGTTTAATAATTTTATAATGGCAGATTGTTAGGTGATGAATGTGTGTGTAATTTAAAGGATAAAGGATAAGCATTTGCCGTTGATCAATCCCTTTTTGGGATGCGGCACGCATTCTACTTCCATTTGTACATTCGTAGTGGCGTTTGAATGCGATGTGGCCTATACAATGACTTGCGGGGGCCAGCCGATGTCAAGTCAGTGTTTTTATCCTCCCAGACAAGTCTGGTACCAATTAACCGACCCCGGAGGGATGGAAGGCTTGGTTGGCCCGGGCGACTCACGACCCAGGATTTGATCCCCGGACCGCTCGCGTGGTGAGCGTGCCACTTGCCACTACACCACTTCCGCCCATAGTCATAATTAGTGACATTCAACGGCATACAACTAATCGGCCATGTATCTGGTCGAAAAGTATCAAATTTTGTGGAGGTGGACGTCAGCTGCGCTGTTTGGTCTGCACTGCAGACGCAGCTACCTATCGGACACAAAAGGTACTTTCAGTATAGCTCGCATTTTACCAATGGCCCTTACGCGCAGGTCACATTCCCTTTCGCCAAATTGTGGAATTCTTCACCCAGATCTCTGCTAGAAACTTCTACCCTGCCATCGATTCTCTTCCCTTCCGCTCCTCGTCCTATTTTCTCCGATGTTGCTGTAATAAATCAACGCTTTTTGCACCGCATTCCATTGGATCGTTCTGGAATGTGGCCAAGCTTTTTTTCCCAGTGCATCAACGCATTCTTCCCCCTGGTCTCACCATTCCTTTCCCATCCCCCGTTGCGTTCGCAATTTTTCAACTCGTACATCTGGCGTAGCCAAATGGCAGAGAAAGTGTGTGAGAGAACGAAACAGTGCTCTGACTCAGCCCAAGTGCCGTGTGTTTCCGGCACGGGGTTACATTTCACCAGCGGTGACATTTCGACGAGCCTTATCTACAGATCACCTGACCACATTTGGCTATCTGCTGGGCGTGAGAACGATAGCGCGTGGTGAAAATGCGGCGGGCCATTCGCCGGAACACCTAAGCGCCATGTGATTCCTTGGGTAAACATTTCAGGTCACAGTGCTTTTTATGGCGACATTTCAGTCACAATTGAGAGACGTTACAGACGATGAGTCAAATCCTTTAAAGGTTATTCAACCCAGCGATGACTGTGTAACAAACTAACCAGTTAATGATTCACATAAACCATAAGTATACAGTCCATAGAGTTTATGAGCTCAGCATTTAAGAAAGGAAGGAATTACTGTAGATCTGGAGTGTATTCCATAATTGGACATAGATGACCAATATGGGCCTTCATAACCTCTCGAAAGAAAGCAACTTTTTCGCCAGAGAAAAGTGCTGCGTTGCAGAAAAACTAGTCATGCCAAGGAAACTTTACTGCCAGATTTCGATTTGTTCACGTAAGTACATAAAAACCAAAATCAGCGCGGACCCTACGACTGCGCGGGATCGGGGGAAGAAGATATAAAAGCCAAAATGAAGGGACATTACATTATTGATAGCTATTGATTGGAAATCGTTGAAAACTAGATCGACAATGAAGAAAGGCAATCGACTGCTGATAGACGAAGTAATAGAATGATAACTGGCGTAGAAAGACAGAAAAAAGTTATTAGCAATTACCAAAATTAACATGGGCTAACGGCGGAAGTGGTGAGTGGCAAGTGGCATTACCACGCGATCGTCCTGGGTCGTGAGTCGCCCGGGCCAACCAAGCCTTCCATCCCTCCGGGGTCGGTTAATTGGTACCAGACTTGTCTGGGAGGATAAAAAACACTGACTTGTACATCGGCTGGCCCCCGCAAGTCATTGTATAGGCCACATCGCATTCAAACGCCACTACGAATGTACAAATGGAAGTAGAATGCGTGCCGCATCCCAAAAGGGATTGATCAACGGCAAATGCTTTATCCTTTTGTGCTTTAACCAGGGCTAAGAAAAAGAAATGAAACATGGTAACTCGCAAGTGAACATAAACGACTGTAGTTTTTTTATAACAAGCCACTAAACTAGCTAAACAAAAAAGCATCAAGCGTCTCTGACATCATTTTTATTACGCAAACACAAAAGATGCTAAACAAAAGCCTATTAAACACACATAACAAAACCGGCCAATCTCATGATAAATAGCAAATACCCGTTGTACGGATGGCAGAGTGCAATCAAATTTGAAGCCGCTTCGTGCAACCGCATCGCAAACCAAATGCCTTCCAAACGCATGACATGATCGGATTCAAAATTGATGACACATGGCAGCAGATTTATTCATGCGCTGGGAAATTTCCAACGGGGGTGAGGTCGTCGGCAGGGTCGCAATTGTGGCTTTTGAGGTCGAGGATTTGAAATTGGTGAAAGAGCGTTGCATTATTCAGTAGAAATGACGAAAGAAAGATTTGAAACACCAGAAAAGGTATAACTTGTGATTTGTATTGCTGCTCAGAAAGTTTCAAGC